ATTGGCCCTTATTTTATTTCTATTTCTGGTTATATACTCGATGGAATGGGTATATGTCTATGATTATTTTACAAAATCGGGCGTCCAATAACCAGTAATCATTTAATCATGTATTAATCAAAAGATACATAAAGATACAGACGTATAAATAAAGATAAGTGCAGATAAACTAATTGTTTTGCGTTATCTATTGATTGGTTACAGTATTTAGGTGAATTTTATACAGATACTATTTTGTTCTAACCTAACACAGACGCAGCCAAGTGTAAATAACTTTCGCTTTTCAATATTAAATCGTAATTGATATTAAAAACGAAACCATTTATGACGTTACTAAACAACTAGTGGTAAATTTTCATAATATTACGTGTAGTGAAAAATTAATGTTGTTAAATGTTTAAAAAGTGTGCAAAATGTTGTTTAATTCGTTTCGGGTGTCATGCAGAAGTCGGAATTTCCAGAATCTTTTCTAATTCACGTTCTTCATTGTTGAGGGTTGTGTCCTAGAAAGTTTTTCGTGGTAAATAGCCACTTCTAACTAATTTAGCAGAAGGTGACGGATACAGTGACAGTGTCATCTAAGTATTTGCGATTAAAAAGTTGATACAACCTTTGATTCTGCATAACAGTGAAAATGTTGAATCAATCACTTTGGAAAAAATGTACAGTAAAATTGAGGATATATATATGTATACGGTGTGAAAACACGATTCATAAAAATTTTCACGATAAAAAAAACACAAACTTACCTCGAAATTTTACAACAAAACCGTTGTATTCAATAGGTACTTTACATATACCAATGATTTTTTTATGTCAACTGAACTAAATAGAACACGTATAGTATACCAACGTTGAAAAATTAAAAACAAAGACACGACAATAAGCACATAGAAAAATTCGTGAGGTCAGCTGGTTCGTTCCGTGGCTTAGTTGGTATAGCGTCCGGCACGGTATGCTAGAAGACTTCGGTTCGAATCCGGCCGGATCGAAGGAATTTTTTCTGAGTGTTAGATCTTTGTGTTAATACTTTTTTTTTTATCTTTTTAACCTTCTTTTTAGTAAACTGTCGTAGTATATTCATTGCTAGTTAACAATTAAAAATATAGAACAAAATTTAACATAATAAATCAGGGATTATTTCCTTGAAGTTTAGGTAAACATGCTCTGGTACTTATTCCGATTTCTGGTTATGAGACAAAATGTACTTACTTCATCTTAAAACGTCGTAAATTTCTAAATAATGAAATAAATCAAAAGTGAAGTAAAAGGTTGACTAAACATTGACTCTATTGGAAGACTATGTAATAATTCCCTCCCCATAGAGGTGGGCCATGGTCAGCAACAGTACAAATAAGGATTGATACTGTGAAGTGCAAGTGATGATGTTAGTGCCTCCAGCAATTGTTGTAGAGGAAGCAAAAGATGCTTCGTATGAAACTGATGTGACTAGTTGGTCGAAACAGTTTGAGAATAGAGCAAAATTTTGGAAAGGTTTGTTTCAGATTTTATTGTCTTTGTATAATGCAGTTTTCGCTCATGATCTATGGTTGGAAAAGGGTGTTCCACATACAGCTACAAGAAGCGACATAGAGTTGTCAAAACTACCAAATCTTAATAAATTACTATTTAGAATTCCGGATTTCTGGAAGTGGTTTTACTGTATCGTAGGGCAGAACTACTGACGTAGGAAGTCGAAGTTGGACTATAAAGTAATTCTAATAGTGCCAAGTCCAAAATGCAGTAGATAACTGAGCTTTTACCAAAACAGAATAAAAATGTAACGAGAATGGTCACTCTCCATCACTCCCTAACTTTAAATACCGCATATTGACGGTCACATTGACAGAACGGCAACATTTGCTAGTAGATTTTAGTAAAAAATATTTATAATTTTATTTACGAGGGGCATTTTACGACATTTATTTTTGTGTTTGCATGAGAATCCTTGTCATCGCGCTGTAAAAGTATTTTAATTCAAATTAAATAAACACAGTATAACAGATGTTCATAAATTCCAATCACTAGCAGAAATGTCGTATTTTAAAGGGAAAATGATCACACCTGATTTTTTTTTAATACTTTTTATTTAAAAAACTGCTGAACGCTTAAACAAGACAAAATATTGCCACTTTTGATGGTCTCACTCATGTACGGCTATTTATCTCCATAAATAGAATAAAGAGAGGTGTTTCTTTCGTCTGGAATTCGAAAAAGTAATGTATTAATAATATAGATAAAATAATTAATTAAGAAATTAATTAAGAATTTGGTGGTTTTAACAACTGTGCCGCTCCTTGTAACTATATCTATACATGTATCTATATATGTGGAACACCTTTTTCCGACGTTTGCTCACGATGAAGAGGTGCATTTTTATTTTAAAAATATGTATTTTTAAATGAAAACAAAAGTATTTTTAAATAATACATAATGTGTAAGTATAATGGTTTCGCCGCACCTCTCAGTTTCACGGAATTTATATGCGATATTTAATTTGAAATTTACAATGAGTTTTTCTTGGAAGGAAAATATCGTTATGAAACCTGCACGTGGAAGAAGGTTCACAACCCTTGGAAAACGTGCGAAGTCCCCAACCCGCATTGGGCCAGAGTGGCGCACTATAGCCTAAATTCTCGCCCGAGATGTAACTCGTGCTTACAATGGGACGAATAAATTAGGTTGATGATGAAAAAAAAATTTTTTAATGAAAAAATTGTGCATTTTGAATGAAAAACGTGTGTACTTTTAAATTAAACAATTGTCAAATACAACAAATTATATATTATTTCCATTTTTATTACAGAATTTGCAAATTTTCATATACATGTTATACGTACCTCTGAAATGAAACCTTATTAACATATCGTGACTATTAATTAACACATAGCTTACTTTCCCTGTGAAAAAGTTCATTCAGAGTAGTACTGCCATAGGGTGGAGTCTCTTCTATTTCTGCCGTCAAGCAGTAATATCAACATTACTGCGTTCCAGTTTTGAAGGGTAAGTAAGGGTGCTGGTGAAATTACAGGCACATGGACTTGTCAACTTATGCCTCAGGGTGACAGGCGCAGTGGCAGTGTCTCTCAAATCTTTGCGATTTAAAGCTCTTGGTGGCACTGCAACTGCTTTGGAAAAAAACAGTATTTTGCATAATGTCATTTTGTTTATCAAATTTGAAATTTAATAGTTGTGTCCATTAGTATAGTAAGAAGAAAACGTCCCTAAGAACATACGTCACGAATAAAATAATTTCCATTGTTTCAGAACGCGATAAACAACATGAGACCGAGAAGAAAATCCTTTCAGAAGAATTGGAAGCCGAGAGGCAAAGTCGACAGAAATTGCTCTCGTCGCAATACGAACTACAAGAAAGATTGGATGCTCTACAGAGGTAATACGGCACATTTTTGTTTACCTTTATCGAAGCTAAGATTATATAGGCCTACCGCTTAACTGAGTCGGTTCCTGAGGTAACTGCGCGGGGCGGGAGGAGTAACAGTTATGTCGTGCTGCACACGGGATCACTTCAAGAAGATTTTTCTGACGATATTCAATAACAAGTTGATTGGATGATTACATTTTTATTAAAAAAAAAACCGACCTCAAAAGTTCGTGGAAATAAAAACTTGGCAAATAGATGTACTATTTTCCAAGTTTTTATTGCAATCGGTTACTGGAAAAAGCGCGAAATCGAATTCAACCCCTAGTTTGCCACCCTTAGAAGTGGAATATTTTCGTCATATTTAAATGGGACCAGTACTGAGGTACACTGTTTCCGAGTAAAAAAGATTCATCACAATCGGTTCACAAATGCCTAGGTCCCCTAGCTTAGGAGATGAATCCGGTTTTGTGCACTTGAACCGAACCGACAGCGTGGCGGACTATAACCTGTTTTTCCATTGTCTAAGGTTGACAATGATTATTTAATAACAGAGGCTTGAATATTGTGAACCTTGTTACAGAGCGCCGCCAACAAGAGAACATAGGAGATCTTTATCTGATGCCAGCAACAATTCTCAACAAGAAACAACAGTTGAAGATGTAAGTTACACCTCGAACCTTCCACGGCCGTATCAAATATACCGGTCAAGTCATGGCAGAAACCTTTCTCGCTTCAGGTTGCTAACAGATTGACTGCACGTTTGCAGTTAATGCGTGTTGTCGTAATCATGCAATCGATCTCGGCTACATAAAGTCGGTTTCGACTGCATGCAGTTAATGCGTTAAGCCGTTATCAACTTAATGCAGTCGAGGTACCAGATAACGACTTCACGCATTAACTGCATGATGCAGTCGAAACCGACTTCATGCAGCCGAGATCGACTGCATGCAGTTAGTGCGTGAAGTCGTTATCAACTTAATGCAGTCGAGGTCTCGGATAACGACTTCACTGCATGACGCAGTCGAAACCGACCTCAAATCAAAACCTTTGAGGTCGGATCTTTTTTTAGAGAACAGTTTTAATGTTAACCGTTTCTCGCGAAATGGCTGTAGTTTTTCAATGTCAGATTAAAGAGCTAGAGCCTGTCGTAAATGTCAATTGAGGCTGTTAGCGCAAAAGTGGTGTAATCCACATAATTTTTTTTCTACAATAATACTTTAAATAATAATAACGCACACACTCAACATAGCCCCGCACTAGGGAAACCCTCGCGTCGCGGGTGCCATGGACACACACATAGACAACCACAAATTACACCCAAAGTCACGAGAGAAATAAATGTAGGCCATACAAATATTTCTCCCGGCCCGGGAATTGAACCTGGGAACTCTGCGTGGCAGTCCGGCATGGTAATCGTTCGGCCACAGAGGCAGTTAATTCAAAAAGGAAGTTAATCAAGCTGTTTATTGTGTTTTTAGGATTATGGTTACGGATCAGTGCGTTCGGTGGAGACAACACGGCCGGCACTGGAAGCTGTTAACTGGTCAGCAGGACAACACAACGGGCCGGTAACTATTTGTTAACCTTACTACTACAGTTTATTTGTTTTTTGAATTTCGCAATGTTTTACCACCCTGTTATTCATCGGGCATTCTCGAACTCACACTTCATTACTTAATTTCCGTGGCAATTTTTAATATTTCAATATTAAGTAATTGTATCGTGCAATATTAAATAAAAAGGGAAAGAAAAGATCCGAAAAAGCACATAGAAAAATTTGTAAGGTCCGGTGCTCAGTTGGGAGAGCGTCTAGCACGGTTTGTTTGAAGACACTGGTTCGCACCCAGCCGGATCGAAGGAATTTTTCTTAGTGATCAAAGAACAGAACTGTTTATGTGCGTCATTACTCATTATATATTCGTACAACGATTTTCGTAGAACTAGCTGAACGTAATCAAAAACATTTGAAAACACGCACTAGTCGACCCTTAACGCTCGATCCGGCAAACTAAGCGTGTTTGCAGGACGCGTCCCGCACAGCCCTACTCCTCTCGTATTACCCCGCCTTCGCTCTGCGCAAGTAAATTCGTTGCGCAACTGTATGGTTTGTTTTTGCGCAGTTTTCTGCGGAAAAAATCATGATATTCAATTAATCAATATTGTAATTATATGTACGTGCTTATTTATGTCTGATTACATAATACGTTTGGTTTAATTTTGTTATGTCTAGATTGCAGACGCGGGTCTAGTACTTCGTATGCAGAACAGAATATCAGCATTGCAGAGCGAACTATCGCGGACCGCGAAGCGGGCCAACGATTTGGAAGAACGCCTAATGAGTGAGTGATGCTCTTTAAATTTTTATCGTAAAACTGACGCCAACTTACGTAAGTTTATTTAACTAGTAGACAGTATGGGGAAATCCGAAACCATAGGAGAGAAATCGTCTTAGGAACCATTCTCTCTTCTCTCAAGTCTTTTCTTGTGAACACAACGTTAGTATAGTAATTTATTTGGTCAAGGCGTGAGTTGTCCATGAAAATGATTGTATTTTTAGTGCTGATCGACTTACTTTCATGTTAGGACCATTTAATTATATTGGAAGAAAATAATCGGGACAGCAGGTGATCAAATTTCATAAAAGTTTTATTCATACAAAATGAGTAAATTTTCCAGTACAATGAAATAAAAATTAGCACTTAAAAAAAATCAATTTTATTAATTTTTATGGACAACACACGCTTGACCAAAAATGATTGCGAAAATTGTTTTAAAAAAAAAAGTCTTTATGGTGCCTAAGGACGTGTTAATTCGACACGAATTTCATCGCGCTAACGCCGAGCAGCAACCGCCTCAGCTCGTGTCCAGAGACCAAACTGTTAAGGCAAAATACGCTCTATTCTTTTATCTTTTGCGTTGTAATTTAAATGAGAGACTGGCTTGTCTTTAGTCTACGTGGAGTCAGCGCGGACCGCTCGGTTGTATTAGAGGAATTTAAATGTTGTTGCCTAGTAAATAGAATTCAGATTCGCGATTAACTGGACGGATACACGCGGCGCCTCGCGAAAACTTTCGCGTCATGTAACTGGGCACTAAGATAGTTTCCTTGTATTATAGTTCACTGTTCCATATAATTAATATTATTATTTAAGAAGTGTTTTATTCATAAGCATGCAACTCGTGACTTTATTTTATAGGTTTTGATTATTTCCTGTACACTTATTGGCTGGCGTGTTGACCAATGAAATCGCCGAACACCAGCCAATAAGGCGCTAGTTAGTAAGGGCATGAGTAATGGAGGGAAAAGGAGATGTAAGGGGAGGTCTAGAGGGAAAGTTAGATCGGTTGATCAGTAGATAAAATTGGAAAAAACATTCTGTTAAGAATTTCTATATGTTGCTGAAATAATTAATTTCTAGGAAGTTATTGTGGTGTTATTTTTCGAATATAAAAGCTTACGAGAAATCACGTGTTTTAAATTATACTCCAGCTTTAGTTGAGTTTTTTATAAGCTATTGGTTTCACTTGTATCTCCTATGGTGTTGGATTTACCCATTCTGTCCAATTTTAAAAAACACACTGTTTTTATAAACTTTGTAGTTTATGATGTTAGTAATAGTCCTGCGAGGTTGTTAGTGTTTTACAAACAACCCTGTGTATGTCCTGCTAAGCTTCATTTTAACTATTTAGTAATCTACACAATTTATGTAGCCACTTGTTTTAAAATAACGTTGTCAATAGACCGAGTCTCGTCCGCCCCAACGAACCCGAATCTGGATCGCTTCAAGGTGGAAGAGTTGGAGATGGAGAACAAGAAGTTAAGGGAACACCTGGACAGATTACGAGTTACGTCGGACAGTACTAAAGAGCTTATTGGTAAGTTATTAATAATAAAAAACACAACAAGAGACACACGCAGGCTGCATTTTTAACAGACTTCAAAAAAGGAGGTTCTCAAGTAGATTGTACTTTTTTTTTGTATGTATCTTATGAGATAACTCCTGATATTTGTGAACCGATTTTGATGAAGCCGAATTCATGGAATGATGACCGATTTCAATAAAACTTAATTGACCCCCTCCTACGTAAAGTATAATATGTCGAAATTGCCAAGTTTACAGGGGAGCGTTTTAAAGTTTTGAATTCACTGAAATGAACATAATTATAAATTATTAAATAAATTGTGGTTGTGCATGTAACCGATATGTAGGATTTTACAATACTCTATGTGAGGAACGAGTTTTGCCGAATAAAATTGAGAAGTGCTAAAGTCACGTGTTATACTCATTGCAGTGAATTCAAAACTTTAAAACGCTCTCCTGTAAACTTGGCAATTTCGACATACGATACTTTACCTAGGAGGGGTCGAAATAGACGTAATTCCATTAACTTTTGTGGTCGGTTTTTTACTACTCTGTTCTGAGATTATATAACTGACAAAATTTTAACTCTTCCGTCTATTTACATTATTAGAAACTGTCATGTTTGTTACAAAACATTCAAATCATTTTGAATTTGTAAAAAGCGATCATCGAAATACAAAACTTGTACTACCAAATCCGAAATTAGCAATGTTCAGAGAAAGCCCACTCACCCACAGATGTATATTAATTTATAATAAAATACCAAATTCCCTTAAGACAGAAGAAAATGACATTCAAAACCAAAAATAAAGTCTCTTCTGATAAATGGGTGCTAGTACAGTGTGGGAGACTTCATGGACTCTCCTATAAGATGATGTGAAAGAAGTGATGAACGCTTCAACTCTTTCATATCGCATTGTGTCTATTTTAAGAACCTTTATTTCCAGAGTATTATTAATGTGCAGGTACACACCCCAACGGGGTATGTTTGTACTTATATTCCGTTCAACAATTTAGTTAACTTTTGATATATGCATGCCTCCGAAGTTCCGCAATTATTGACATACATACATAAACCAAAAAATGCGATACATCCTGGACTCTTTTATTTTTTTAATTTTAGTAAAGCGACGTGCTCTTTAGTTCCGATATTTATCGAGCCAACAGATGTAACGAAGATTATTCAATTTGGAAAATTTTGGTACCTGTCTACTAAATTCTAATGAAATTAAATAAATTATAAATGTTTATAATAAATTCTTATTATTCATTGTAATGAATCGTGGGATTCTTTTCCATATGAACTCATCAACTTTAATTATTAATTCTTGAGTACACGAATTGTTAATTATTAATTGTAAACGCAACATCACGATCCCAATCAGGCAATGTATTCTTTTTTGAACCCGCTTACGTTCACGATTTAAACTTCTTAGTAAAAATAGATAAAATCGATGGTTATAAAAAAAACGAATCAGCAACTAATTAGGACATCACTAATTGATTAGAATTCGAGCTGTCAAAAGTTAAATAAATCATTGGACGGAGTATAGTAATTACCTGTGTAATGCCTGTACTAACATTGTTTGCTATAAATAAATGAAAATAAAAAAAATGGAATAATAAAGTGTCAGACAATAACACCAGTTCTGCCCTCACTAATGCGTTTACACCTATACTAAAATAATCTAGGATGATCTCAGAGACAGTTCATGAAAATCTACAAAATATAACCTTGTAACAACATGCACTAATTTATATAATTCATACACTATTTTTATAAGCCTCGCTTTTACATAAGGCTTTTGTTTTAGAAATTAAAGTACAAATAACACCAAATCAATGTTTATTTGTGAGAAATGTGCAGTAAATTTTTTTTTAAATCATTAATTTGTACATTGCATTTGCTTAGAGATGAGGTAAATAAACGTATATCCTTAGAATAATAACGCATAGAATGATAGTTTCATATCAAACGAACTGTCACAAGTGAGGCAAAAATCAAATTCATGTAGGCTAGTTTTAGTATAATAGTAGATTAATTTTCGGTTTTAGTGAATATTTATATAAAAATACAAGTTGAAACGCGTTACTTCCTTGTGGAATGTGATGTTAGTATCTATTTTATGTTTGTCTGACGTATTTTTACACCCATTTACCGCACATTTCGTAATTTTTAGCTAAAATTCTTGCGCTGTTCGCAGTGCAAGTTGACCTTGAGCACTGAAGGCTCGCCCATTGGGAGCGCTTCAATTTGCCTCACTTAGCGTGTGCGGACTAGGTTTCTATGTGTTATTATTCTAAGCGTATATCGTTAAAAGTTTACGATAATTTAATTTAAAAAATGTATAGTGCGTGTTCCTGCATATTCTTAAAGTGTGAATTTTAATCGTAGTCAGTGAATTGATATGCTAGTTATTACTATTTTGAAACCTATAAATTAATGATACGACAAATGGTTTTAGAAAGGACAATGGCAAAATACCATATAAATTTTTGTTGACATAATTTGTATGCGTCGGTTTATGAAAAATGTGTGAAAATATAGAGTTGAAATTTCTGAACAAATTTTGTTTTGGGTTTACTATTCTGAGAAGTCTGGATTTAAAGATATTCCAGTTTGAAGTTTTGGAGGTTATGTGTTACGTAATTGAATAAAATATGTACTGTGTGTGTATCAAAATATACTGCAGAAACCTTAAAGAGAGTTAATAGAGCTGAATGGTACCGTAGCTTGGTGATATGACGAAAGTTCAGAGGAAATTATTTTATCTACTGGTGTGGTCAAAAACCCTGCAGTTAAGCCATAACAAAAAAAAACTGAGTTAATTAATAACATACCACCATTGACTTACAAATAAATGGACGACGGGTCTAATACAAAAACCACGAAAAAAATGTCCCAAGTCAACCTATTCGAAATTTAAATTGTAATGACATCGCAGTATCGCGCTGTCAGTAGAACAAATGAAGACTAAAGCGGAGTGTCGCGCTCTGTATACGATTTTAGCGCCTTACATGTGCGGACACTTTTTAGCGCGGACCCGACGTCCATATAATTGTAAGTCAATGCATACCACAGACTATTGCACTGGTAACTCGGACACAAATTATTTATTTGTGAAACGTGCCATCTAGCCCCGATTTTGGGATTTTTTTTGTCAGTTTTACAATTTTCTCGCCTGGACTTTTGGAGAAGAAATTATCTACTTTATTATTGGTAATGAAGTAGTTAATCTTTTATTAGCTTATTACAAATCGGTCGAATCAGTACATTTGATATTACATGAACTAAATGTGGAACATACGTAGGTACTGAAATTCCTGTTTTACATACTAATTAGTTATTACATTTTTTTAAATAGGACATTATTTTGTGACTTAGATAGGACGCTGATATAATTTGTAAAACCTTATGAATTTATTTTATTCATTGAACACGCTAACGAATTCTTATAACTATGATTTTGCTATTATTCTTTACTTAAATGTAATTGAAATTGCATTTGAATTGTAACTTAACCTCAGTACAGAGTACTAAAAAAACCGACCTCAAAAGTCATTCATCCCGTAGTTTACCACCCTTAGAGGTCGAATATTTTCTTCAAATTTTAATGGGACCACTTCTGAGGTGCCCTTTTTCCAACAAAAAAGAATCATCAAAATCGGTTCACAAATGGCGGGGTTATCGCGTAACATACATACAAAAAAAACATACAGTCGAATTGAGAACCTCCTTTTTTGAAGTCGGTTAATAATTGTGTGTTTTATGCGTTTAATATAATATAAAACAGTTCACACAACTATACATTGTTCAGAATAATACGTTGAAGTGACTATTTGAATTTTGAATACGACGTGTCGAGAAACGAACACGCAATCTCCCAATATCAAGATTACGCTATAAAAAAATCTCTTCCAGCCCAACTAGGCACCACACAGAAGGAACTTGATAGAAGACGTGATGAAAACATTCAGTTGAAGAGCGTGCTTTCTAATCAGGTACGTCATATTTTAATTCCTAGATAAGTCAAATGGATTGGTTTAGCAGTACAGCTTGTGAGAAAGAGTTCATCCAGTGACGTACTGCCACTTTACAGTACCAGGCTATAAATATTGCACATCGGGAAATTCCGGAAGCCACGAATATTTCCGTCTATAACATATGCATCGATCTAGGCGGTACTCATCTAAAGCAGATAAAACAATTTAGTATCTGGGTCACTGGGTCACCGAGGACCTATGTGATAATGCCGATGTGGAAAGGGAGAGGAGGGCACTGGCTGTCCGTTGCAACATGTTGGTCCGCAGGTTTGCACGATGTACAGATGAAGTAAAGGTAACGCTTTTTATAGCATATTGCCAGTCTTTTTACACGTGCAGCTGACCCACAGTCAGTTTCACGCGGCATACGGAGCACTCAAGTGCCAGGAGAGCCAAAAGTGCCTTTGAGTACCAGCGAGTGCCTTTAAGTGCTCGCGAGTAGCTTTGAGTGCCCGCGGGCACTCACAGCACCTAACTTAAGTAAAAAATTGAAAACATTTCCACTATACCTACTGGAGTTACAACCTGAAAATGGTAGATCATTAATATAAATGAGAAATAAGAAAGGTCCAAGTATTGAGCCCCGCGGAACTTCATTTTTACCGGAGAACCCAAAGAAGTCACTCCATTTATGTCTACTTTCTAAATTCTACCGTTAAGATATGACGAGACAAGTTCCAACGCCTTGCCATTTACTCCATAATATTCCAACTTCCTAACAAGAGTAATATGGACCACACAATCTAATGCCTTTGAGAGGTCACAGAAAACCCCAATAGCATTTTGGGACCTTTCTCAAGCATCAAATATATGTTTTAGTAGAGCTACCCCCGCATGGCTAGTCGATCTACCACTAGTAAACCCATATTGTTCACTATGAAAAATGTGATTCCTACCGAAACAAGACAGTAATTGAGTCAACATAACCAGCCTTACAATCTGAACAGATTGTTACATTACAGCCGAATGCTTCCAGGGAAGGAGGCTACCGAATGTTACGAGTTCTCCTCTGTCGCCGCTGTAATGTTCGCTTTTGAACTGTTATATTACAAGCGAATGCTCGCGATTTAAATCGCGATTAAAGATTTATTGTCACCTAAAAATGTCAATTACACTGATTTTGTTTAACAATAAAACTGAAACTAAGTAACACATCAAAAATCTGACTAACGAGGGTTGTTGACCTCGTTTCGACACGAAACCAAATTGGCCGTCCTGTAACTAAAACGGGGCGAAGTGACAAATATTTATTGAGATGTCATAAAAAATCATAATCCAGTTTTAGAATATTGTAATTGTTTAGTGATATTTCAGCTACGCATCGTTAGGGTAGGTTCCGATAAGTTAATAAATTTTAACTGTTTAAAAGAGTATTTTGTGGTCTATCTTTTTCTATTAAAAAAGGATATTTGACCACTTGTCACTTAGCCGCTTTTTAGTTTTTAGTTTTTAGTGCTCAGACGAACTCTTTGAGTTGGTGCCTCCGTCACTCTTTTACCACTGCACGACCCGCCGAAGGAGAAGACTCCATCCCCACTTCCTCGATGCTTGGCACGTCACGACCACTCGAGCATCTCGTTCGTTCCTTCCCCGAACCAGTAAGATGTGGAATGGCCTTCCTCCTGAAGTGTTCCCCTTGCGCTATAACATGGAGTTCTTCAAAAGACGTGTAAACAAGGTTCTCCGGAGTCGGCAACGCATGGGTGATGCCTCTGGTATTGCTCGTGTCCATGGGCGACAATGACCACCTCCCATCAAGTGGCTTGTCTGGTCGTTTGCTTCCTAGTTACCATAAAAAAAAAAAAAAAAAAGTTAGTGGACGGCAGAAATACTGTCGTAACTCAAAATTGCGAAATTGAGAGAACACAATTTGAAAATTTAAAAAAAGAACGGAATGGATTCCAGTCCAGGCTTGTTTTCAGGACTATACTAACGTGACTGCCTCTGTGGCCATACGGTTATGTTAGTTATGATAATATGGGCAGGGGACACATCGAAAATTAACAAACACACATTGCTGAGTAGAAAGCGACTCTATTGTTATGAAATTTACCATCTTTTAATAAAAAAAAAAAAAGTTGGAAGAAATCTCTTTATGGGATAAGCTCGCCTTTGTACACAAATATTTAAATTGTTTCTGAAAATTTGTAAGTTACTTTGTGGTACAACAAAGTGTTTAAATAATAATAAATAAAAAATAGAGTCGCCGACGATCTTATTGTGGTTTTTACGTTATCAACATATTTCTATATCATGATACAAAATAATACTTGGAGTTAAAACGATTGCAATCTACTTTTCCAAGACTTATTTTAGACAGACTAAAATTCAGAATTTGTTAAGTAAAATAATGCAAAGATGAAAGTATTTCGTCACCCAGTTAGATACATTTACAGCCACCCGCTCCGGTTAGAGATGATATTATTAACTTTTAACTTGATTTTCTATTGAATTGATATTCAATTATTTTTCGTGAAATTACTCCACAAGTTTGTTATAATTATTAATACAAAGATCGAACAATTACAAAAATTCTTTCGATCCGGCCGGATTCGAACCGACGTCTTCCAGTGTCAGACACTATGCCAAGTAATAAAATTTCATAGATTTCTCATAGTTAGCGCTACGGCTAAAAAGTCGTTGAATAACAAATACAAAGATCCACCGAAAAGCACATAGAAAAATTCATGAGGTCCGCTGGTTCGTTCCGTTGCTTAGTCTGGCACGGTTAGCTAGAAGACGTCGGTTCGAATCCGGTGGGATAGAAGAATTTTTTTTAAGTGTTCGATATCTGTATCATTAATTATAACAAATTAGTGGAGTAATTTCACAAAAAATAATTGAACGTCAATTCAATAAAATTTTAATTAAAATAAAATAATTTATTTCATATTAATAATGTTGTCATATTACAATTTAAATTATAACGTTAAGGAATAATATGACTGGCACTAATATAAACAATAATAATTAATATAAAACAGAATTATATAATTAAAAAAGTGTACATATACTATAAGCTAAGGCTACACATACGTGGTACAGCGGGAAAAGCGGTCCGGGGGCGGACCTGCGGGAAGCGAATGCGTGACCAGGGCGTGCTAATCTACACGCCCATCTCACGTGTAGTTCGCGGCGGGACGACGATGCTAAGGCAGCCGGTGTGACACTGAAGAGCAAATACGTTCCATTTTTTGCTTAGATTTAAAGTAAGCACCATATAGAGTAGGATAGAATATAATTCAATTATTTCAACGCCACAACACAAAAATATACAGAAAGAAATAAAAAAAGGACAAAGCAAAAGTAAAACAAAAAATAAAATAACAAAGAAAAAACAACGAAGGAAACATAACCCAATTTTAAAACAGTCAATTTGAATAAATGTCATGTGTGGCGTATATAAAAGGATCCACTCAGCTAATGTTACAGCCGTGTAAAGACTGTAACGCTGATTTTTAGTGGAGTCTAAAACCGAGAGAGTACCGACATATCAAGAAACGCGCCCCTCAGTTGCCGCCCTGTGTGGAAGTTTGCAAAAAACTCTATGGAATACAACTTTGCGCCCTCACCCGCCTCGCTTTCTCTCCGCGTTCGCCCAGGACCCCACTCGCGCCTGTTTGTCGTGGCGTTGGACCCCGGACCGCACCCGCCACTCGGTTTCAATGTGCCAGGGTACATAAGAACTAGAAAATTTAACTGCCTCCGTGGCCTAACGGTTATCATGCAGGACTGCCACGCAAAGGTCCCGGTTTCTCATATTTGTATGCCCTATATTTATTTATCTCGTGAGTTTGGGTGTACTTTGTGGTTGTCTAAGTGCGTGACCATGGCACCCGCAATACATGGTGTCCCTAGTGCGGGTAGATGAATGTGTGCGTTATTATTATTATTACAAAAATTCCCGGCCTTGGAACGCTCCCGCTACCGCCTCTGTCTGGCCAGAGTATTATAATTATTCAATTGATTAAATACGAAAAAGACGAAAATGTTAAGAGGATGATGTACTCTATAATGGTTGCCATCGTGGTGTAAGGATTTACCAATCGACGCAAGGTTCTCGCCGATTGTTGCCCAAGATACGACAGATGTATAGAAAACAAATGGTACGTCGTGCGGGGAGGCTCCTTTCGAGCACCCCTATGCGCATAATAATAATAATAATGCACACTCATAGCCCCGCGTTAGGGAAACCCACACACGGACAATCACAGGCATATATACCACGAAAAATGATGAATAGTGTTTTTTTCTCGGCACCCTGTATTCTTATATACAAGTAATTTTGGCCGTGTAAACGAAATTATAATCTAAATATGTCCATCCATGCTCCTAGATTTAGATAAATTATCAAATTGATATGTTGATATATGATAAAAATTATCACTCGCAAGCGTCACACGTGTTTGGACTTTATACAAATATGTTCTGTGTATTTGGTTATAGTTTATTAAATGTGAATTGCTTTTTTATAAAATCGAAAGTTAAACTCACATAGTGCAAACCTGGTTTAAAAGGTCATAGATTATTGAATTCCTAAATTCATTTTTGGTACATAATTACAACCCCGTTTTTGTACAGTAACGTTAAACATATTGACAATTCAATAAAGTATGAAACAGGTAATTGTTATAGACATTTCAGTGTAGGCAAAATTGAACATAAATTACTAGAGAATACGCTAGAATTTCCATTGTTTAATGTTGTATTATATTACAATTATGAAATATTTTTATTTCACGGTATAATTACCGTTTAGGTTCCCGGGTGGCTCTTAGAGAAAAGTTTAAGGAGACTGGTATCATGACTGTGGCATCACAGTACATTTACTCAGATATTTTGTATGCCCGTAAAAATATACATAATTTCATTAAGAAAGAAGATATCCATAATATTAACCTTAGAATTAAGTCCAAACTCATGTTACCACGATTTCGTTTAACCAAGGTAAACGACTC